CATCTCAAACATTAACGCTACTGAAAGTTTTGGCAATTCTCTTTTCTGATTTTGGAATAAAGTTATAGCTTGTCCTACCTGTGATGTAAGTTCTTCTATCGTAACTTTCTAAGAATAATGTAGAGAACAATGGATCACTTTCAATAACATTGTCAATAGCTACTTTAGTCAGTTGTATCAATTCTTGATGACTAAGTTGTTTCAGACTTTGTTTGGCCACAATTCTTCTCAAGAATCCCTTATTGCATCTCATAATTGAGAGTTTTCTGCAATGTCCATATTAGATCGTTTACGATGCTTATTTATTTATCTCTGTCTTCCATGTAAAATATTTTAGGTAAGTTATCAAAGTTGTTCGCTGTCACTTAATAAGTTATCTTCCACTGAATAAAATTAATTGAATGCAACAATAATATATTTCCATTTGGTTGTAATTTTGTAGCTTAAAACTAAATGTATCAATTATATATTAATTAAACATTAACGTTGCATTATACATTAACGTATATTACATATTAACGTTATAACTGAACTGTTGTGTCATGTGGTGGAATGATAATCGAATAAAAATTATATTATTAGGACGATTTACTTATTTTAATGGAACAACACGTAATATAAAGATTAAGGTGGTAAATAATTATTGCCTTAAATAGAAAATGTTTTAAACACAAGTGGACACGCAATCTAAAGTTGATATTGTTCTCCAATATGTGGAGGCGGTAAAAACAACTTCGCAAAGGGCACTGGACGATATCAAAGTTGAAGAGTTCCAGAGATGCTTCAAACAGTGAGAAAAAAGACTCGACAAGTGCATCGCATCTAATGTAGAGTACTTTGAAGGTGACTGAAGGAATTTGGTAAAAAAATTAATATATAAAGTTTTTATACAAAAAATCCGGTTTTTTTGGGTCCCCCCTCGTACATACGGCATAATATTTACCATCGCATACCGGCAGTTACCGGATCTACTCCACCGTAGCGGGGACTGCCGGCGATACACCTTGTAGAGAAAAGTGAACGAGATGGAGAAAGAACGCGGAGGGAAGAAGAGGAATGAGGATAGCGAATCGTGTAATTCGCTCGGTAACAAGAAGTATAACTGACGACAGTAAAAATGGAGGCATTTTTATTGCCGCAATAAATACACTTCCGAGGCTTCCTTCGTGCTTGTGCGAAGTGTACACGTTACGATTTCTTCATTTATCTCCCTCGGTGATCTCTTTCTCATCTCTTTCTGTTCGTCCTCTTTATTACCACACCATAAATATCTTCCTTTCGTAAGTATCGATTCGCAAGAGCGCATTTCGATTACGCTCTCGCGAAAATCGGACAATAGACGGCAATTATGTGATTGATAAGCAGCGACTCGATAAAGTAAGCATTAAACGATCGCGGCAAAAATTGCTGCGGGATCCGCCAACTCCAAAAGCAAACGCGGTTTTCCCGATATTGGCGTTATATAGATGGGACGTTATTACGAGGGTGGATCATATATAAACGAGCCTTTTTAAATTGCGCGCCCGTCGGCGGCTTAAGGAGTCTGCAACGTTTTAAACAGTGGTGGCGGGTCATGTGAAAGGCAGTAATAACGTTGGTGCGCCACCTACTTCTTACTCTCAGCAGCAATCACGATGAGCGAGAAAGAAGTACACCCCGCAGTTGCACAACGTGTTATTATTAAGTTCCTCGTCAACGAAAATATTGCTGAAATTCGGCGCCGTTTACTCCCACAGTTTGAGGAAAGAACCCTTTCATGAGCTCGGATGAAGCAGTGGTGTAACGAATTTAAGAAAGGACGGGAGCGTGTTGAAAACATTGCCCACCCCCGCCGTCCCCACACCAGCATCACAGTGCAGAACACCGAAGCTGTTCGAGAACTCATCGAAGGCGATCGGCACTCAACTGTTCTTGAAATTTTTTAGGAAGTTCAGTTTGAGATGTCTATCGGTCAAAAAGGCGCGGCATTCCGATCAGAAGTGTGTGACTTCTCCATGACAACGCCAAACCCCACACCGCAGCAGTAACGCAACAAAAATTGGCCGATATGCACTGGGCTCTCCTAGAACATCCACCCTACAGCCCAGACCTTTCACCATGCGACTTACATATGTTTGGGCCACTCACGGAAGCCCTTGGTGAATAGCGCTTCACAACGAACGAGGAGGTGCAGCAGTTCGTGTGCAATAGGTTTGATACACGTCCGCGAACTTTTTATGATACTGGGATTAAAAAATTACCAGACCGTTGGAGAAAGTGTATAGATAAGATGGGGCACTATGTACAAAAATGAGAAAAATATAAATGAGAATTGATTTTGAAAAATATATAGTTTTTTTATAAAAGGCTCGTTTATATTTGATCCAACCTACTACCTAAAAATTGAAAATGGCAGGTAACGATCCGGCGGTACCGTAACTTTCAATCCTCATAACTCGAAAAGTACTGATTAAAAAAACATTTCATTATAGCGTTTTGGAAAGCTCTCGAGGTAAGCTACAAGAATATGCATTGAAAAATGGGGATTTCCATTTAAGAAATTAAAGGTGATCTTCACGTGATCTTCAAACGACTATCCAAGGTCAAACCAATGACACCATCTTATGTGCCCCTCGAAGTCACAAAACTTTTGTCTGAAACATTTTTCTTTAAAATGTCGCATTTACGAAAAAATCGGGTGAGACGGGTGGTCTGGGACACCCTGTATATACCTACTGACCTACAAATTTATATATATATATAAATATATATATCCACTAATAACCACTAACTAATGGCCAAACGTTTTTGTTTATTATAATTTTATTGCCAAAGAAATTTTTTAAATAAAATGAGATTGTTTTCTGTTATAATTTTTCCCGTAGAATCAAATGGCACTGTTAGTTTTTTGAAATTTACAACTTTTCGGTAATTTGTTTAAATAATTTTGCAATAAACAATCAGATCGTCAAACAAAAAAACACGGGTATTTTATTTTTTGCTAATGCAATCGATGGCGTCATTAGTTTGGGTCTAACTATGCTGTGCTAGCCATGGGTCTTAATGGGTTAATGAATAACTTGAGATGTGTTGATACGTGCGGCTGCCATATCGATACATATCAATCATATACGATATTAAGTTTAATGCCTGTTTACTTATAATTCATAATTTATCAGAAATCAAATTAATATAAAAATAATTATAATTACAGTTAAGAACGATGGAAAATGATGAATAAATATGAAATCATGTTTATTGTAATGAACCCACGATTTTTTTGGCATTTTTACATTAAGTTTTACTATAATATTTTCACCAAGGTTGAAAGATCAGCGTACGATTGACACTAAGATCATATTGCAAAATATATAACAATAGACTGTTCGTCTCGTTGATGTCTGTATGACTATTTAATAATTATTGAATCGATACTACGTGAAATGTCGATAAATTTATCTTACTATTATTAATGATAAATTACGATGTCTGGCTATTAAATAACGAGACTGCTTATGAAAAAGAGTTTTATTTTAAAAATTATTCTACAATCGAATGCTCCATTCAATGTACTCCCCTCCCCTCGCCACATACCGTTCTATTCGTTTTTTCCATTGGTCAAAGCAATGCTGGAAGTCTTC